TGAGTGGATGAGACCCGAAAAGTTCTATGTATTTCATGTGCGTAATTTTTATTAACATTATTGTCATATGCATAAAAAAGGTTCTCATTGGAAAGAGCATCAGTAATGAGTAAAAAGCATAGGATTTTTACACGTAGGAAATATTAGAAATATCTTTCACAACTAGAATCGAAATAATACTGCGAAAATAGGAAAATTCTAAGAACATAGAAAGCTGCTGAGGCATTTAGTAACTTGCGCTGAGAAAACACAACTTGTCACCTATAATATGGCACTGTGACACCCCCAAATCTCCCTCTTTGGAAATACAAGTATAATACGTATAATTACCACCGCGTGATTACGCAAGGCTACTCAACTTACTAAAAATAACAATACTGTGCAGCGGAAACTTCAATACTCTTCTTTATTAATAATAACCATAATAGTAACCAATGTTATGAGTACTCAAAATAGATACAAGACCAAATTCCTAATTTAGTGAAAACCAATCCCGGGACTCCAATGCATCACTTATTGACTCCAACCTGAAAATAAGCAACACTGCTTACCATTATGGTAAACAGGGCGAACCAAAACAAATAAGAAGACGAGTTAGCAAAATATGCTAAGTACGGTAAGTGCATGAGAATTAAACTCAATTTATTCGCAAACATGCTTTAAAACCAATTTCTAATAAATAATCTAATAATTCCAAACTCATGGATTAAAACCAATTCTCAATAATTCCAATATCAATAATCAATAAAACCAATTTCAATTATTTAAAAACCAATTCCTCATACTAAAACCAATTCCTCTCCCAAGTGTGCACACCCCCCAAACTAGTCTCCTTATGTTACAAGGCTATTCTTGAGGAAAGACCCGGTCATGCAAAGTCCAAGGCCTTATCAATAAACCAAATCCGCATAGTGGGATTACCAACATGCTTATAAAGCGTAAATAATAATAAATCCATGATTCAAACAATCCTCTTTTAAATCCAATAATTCCAATATCATTCAAAATCCATTTTAATTAATTACACATGCTTTCAAAATCAAACCTTTTAAGTAAATACTTGAGAATAAAATCTCATATTATTAACTTTTCAAAATCAACAACTCTTCCTTGAAAAACCTTCATTAAATTCAACACGATAAGTAATCCAAACCATTCAAAACATGATTTAAAAATAAATAATTCAAAATACTTTTATTAAAATAAATACCTTCAAACATAATTTATTTCAAAAATCATAATTCAAATCAGTTTAATTCAATCACCAATCAGATCATGTAAACACATGTTATTCAAACGAATCACTTTCAAAGGTATCTAGCCACCTAAGCGTACCTTGATCTTCACTTAGCCAACAACACTTAAAAAGAACTCTCAAGTAGCTTGATCAAAAACACCCTACAAATAAATATAACCTTAATCAATATAAGGTTAACAAATAATCACAAATAATTAAATTAAACCCTCCCAACTAAATGTACATGAACTTCTTAAATTAATTCAACATGAAAATTATTAAAATCTGATTTTATATAATTAAAACTACTCATAATAATTTTATATTAATCTCCCATAATAATAAGAATTGAATAAAAGAAAAGGAGAAGAAAAAAATTGAATTTGCGTAGGAAATAAAAGGAAGAACTTTCAGAGGCTATAACTCCTTCGATATAGCTCCGAATTGGGTGATCCTTGAGCCTCACCTCAAGGATTGTTCGAGAGGAACAAATATTTGAGAAACCTCACTACCCCAAAAAATGAACAGAAGTACCCGAAAATTGGCTTCAAAGATGAACGAGATGATTTGTGTAAAATTGAGGAGAAGAAAAAGAAGAGAATTGGGGTGAAGAATGTGAGAGGTATGAAGGGGTATTTATAGGCTAGTATGAGCATTAATTATGGTAGCAAAATGTAGGAAGAATTATTGTAATTAGGATTTAAGAGATTACATGGAGAAGTGAGCAAAGATTTGAGGAAAGTTTTGATATTTGAAGGGATTGTGTATAATTGAATATGGAAGGTATGTATGTCATTAAAAGTGTTAATGAAATTGGGATTTCTTGGGGAATAATTAAGAAGAATGAATGGCAAGAAAATATAATAATTGGATATCAAAAAGATGGAGAATTAGATTTATGGAAAATAGGAGATTTAAGGAAGATAATTAAAAATACAAATTACCAAAATATTTTCCCAAAATCTTTATGGCATGGCCGAAATTATTGAGATTTCCTAAGCTCATATTTTCGGCCTTCCTATTTAGTATTTATGAATATATTTTTCTAGTTTTAAGGAATTAAAAATAACTGTGTAAATAATATTTATTATAATAAACAATTAAATAATAAAATACCAAATATTCACCAAATAATTTAACTAAATAAAAATCAGATTTTCACATAGGAAAATCCGAAATTATTAGCTATTTAATTGGGATTTTCGGACCTATTAAAATAATAATAAAATATAGCTTTTGCCTTAATTAAAATATCCGAAATATATAAATAATCCGGTTTTTAAAATAGGATAAATGGATAATAAATCTTATACAAAATAATGATTAGTTTTCAAAATACTTTTGGCGCCAAAATTCAGATATCATTTTGGCTCCAAGATTTAAATATTAAATTGAATTACTAAAATACCCTTTTTAGAAAATAATAATTAATTAGGAAAATACGTATGAAAATACGGGGTATTACAGTCTACCCTCCTTAAAATAAGTTTCGACCCGAAACTTAGCCAAAAGAAACGAAAATCATTTTGAAATTATTGGTTCATGCACATCCTAACTTGACTCAAGACTCCAACTAAACTTAAATAAGACTCGAAATCACTCAAAAATGACTCGAAAAGTAAACGCGCGAAACTCTATCGCCCTCTACCCCCCTTAAAAGGATTTACGCCCCCGTAACTCGACCACTAACCTTAGGCAAACAGTTCTGGGTAACGTTTCCTCATATCAGCCTCAGCTTCCCATGTGGCCTCTTTAGTTTTCTGATTTGACCACAATACTTTCACAATGCTCACATCCTTGTTCCTTGTGCTCCTGACCTTAGAGTCAAGAATATTTACTGGTCTTTCCTCATAAGTCAAATTCTCATCCATCTCAATGGTTTCTGGTTGTAACACATGTGTCACATCAAGAATATACTTTTGGATTTGGCTCACATGGAACACATTGTGAACCCTTTCAAGCTCGTTAGGCAAATCAAACTTATAAGCCACTTTTCCCACTTTCTGAATGATCTCATAAGGCCCTATGTACTTTGGGCTTAATTTTCCTTTCTTCCCGAACCTCATCACACCTTTCATGGGTGAAATCTTTAACAAAACCTTTTCTCCTACTTCATATTCCTCTTCCCTCCTTTACAAATCAGCATAACTTTTCTGTCGATCTTAGGCTGCTTTAATCTTTTCTTGGATCAACTTGACCTGCTTCACCATATCCTCAATCATTTCTGGTCCAAGTACCATAGTTTCACTTATATCATTCCAACATACTAGGCTTCTACACTTTCGACTATACAAAGCTTCAAACGGTGCCATCCCAATGCTTGCATGGTAACTGTTGTTGTAAGAGAACTTTATCAAATCCAAGTGGTCTTCCCAAGACCCTTGATACTCCACAACAAAAGCTCTTAACATGTCCTCCAATATCTGAATTGTTCTTTCTGTCTGACCATCTGTCGCGAGATGAAATGATGTGCTCATTAACAACTTAGTTCCCATCGCCTTTTGCAAACTTTGCCAAAAGTTAGACAAAAACCTTGAATCTCTATCCGAAATGATAACCTTGGGTACCCCATGGTACCTCACCACAAACTTCACATAAGCTCTTCCCAACTGATCCATGGTCCAAGTACTTCTCATAGGTATGAAGGTTGCTGACTTGGTCAACCTATCCACTATCACCGAAATAGTGTCATTTCCTGCCTTGGTCTTTGGCAAAGCTCCCACAAAATCCATAGAAATCTAATCCCATTTCCACTTGGGCACCTCTAAGGATTGGACCTTTCCTTGAGGCCTACGATGCTCAATCTTCACCTTCTAACATGTCAAACACTTACCAACAAATTCAGCCACTTCTTTCTTTATATTGGGCCACCAAAAAGTCATGGGCTTCGCGATCCTTGAAAAATCCTTCACAAACCTTCTGTAATAGCCTGCTAAACCCAAGAAACTCCTTACATCCGACACATTCTTTGGGGTTGGCCAATCACTCACAGCTCGAATCTTGCTTGGGTCCACCGAAACTCTGTCCTTGGAAATCACATGGCCCAAAAATGCTACTTTCTCCAACCAAAACTCACACTTAGACAACTTGGCATACAACTGATGCTCTCTTAAACATGACAACACTTGTCTCAAATGCTCCTTATGCTCTTCTCCATTCTTTGAATATATCAAAATATCATCAATAAACACCACTACAGACTTATCCAAGTATGGCCTGAAAATCCTATGCATCAAGTCCATGAACACTGCAGGTGCATTGGTCAAACCAAATGGCATAACTGTGAACTCATAATGACCATAACGGGTCCTAAAAGCACTCTTTGCAATATCTTGCTCCGCAATTCTGAACTGGTGATAACCCGATCTCAAATCAATTTTTGAGAATACCCCTGCTCCTTTCAACTGGTCAAACAAATCATCGATCCTTGGTAATGGATACTTATTCTTCACTGTCACCTTGTTCAACTCTCGGTAATCAATACACAACCTCATACTCCCATCCTTCTTCTTTACAAACAATACTAGGGCTCCCCAGGGTGATGAACAAGGCCTAATATAACCTTTCTCCAACAAATCATCCGACTGGGTCTTCAACTCCCTCAACTCAGCTAAAGCCATCCTATATGGAGCCTTAGAAATAGGTCCAGTTCCAGGCACTAGATCGATAGTGAACTCAACATCCCTCACTGGTGGCATACCAGGAATCTCATCCGGAACACATCTGGAAACTCTTCTACAACAGGAATACCCTCTTCACCTTCTTAACCAGCTTGAACACTACACAAAAACAAAGGACAACCCTTCTTAACCAGCTTCTGTAGTTGCATTGCAGACACAATTCTCAACCTTGAACTTTTCCCTTCCTTTTTATACACCACTTTGGTCTTACTTGGGCTAGTCAAGGTGACCTTTTCAGCTGCACAATCAATTTTTGCTTCATACTTTCCCAACCAATCCATACCCAGAATCACATCAAAGTCATTCAAGTCAAACTCGATCAAATCAGCCAGAAAATCTACTCCAGAGATGGAAATAGGCACACTAAAAAACAATCTCGAACAACTTCTCACTTCCCCTGATGGTATAGACACATCTAGAGAAACTGACTCAGGACTCTCTAACCCGAGACACCCAACTACTTCCTTAGAAATAAAAGAATGCGACGCCCTGAATCAAACAAGATTTTCACAGGAAAAGAACTTATAAAGAAAACACCAATTACCACATCATTAGAAGACTCAGCTTGCTGACTATTCATCACGAACAGACGACCCTTTGGGGCACCTCCCGCACCACTACTGGTTCCAGCCTTGGTTGTAGGTCCACTATACTGAGGTGGTTTACTAGGTGCACTAGACTCTTTCATCTTCCCAGACTTCACATCAGTTTCCTTCTTGAAACACTCATACTCACGGTGTCCCAACTTCTGACAGTAACGACAAGTTACCGGGTTTCCCTCACTGTCCTTCCCTAGGTGGTCTTTCTCACACCTCTTGCAGAAATACTTCCTCTTGGGTTTCTCACCCCTTTGGTTCCCATTCCCTTTATGGTTGGATGACTCTCCCCCATTCCCCTTCCAAAAGTTTCCCTTGTTGTCCCTCCTATCTCCAGAATTCCCTTGGTAATTTCCATTAGGCTTGTGCCTCTTTTTACCCCCGTCAAAAGAGTCTGGGTTCTTCCTTTTCTCTCCCACCTGCTCCATCTCCCTCCCCTTAATTTCGTACAGATGGGTTACCCGGCCATAGACTTCATCTAGGATCTCAAAAGTCACTCCCCCTAGCTTCCCTTGGAGGGTCAAGGTTAGGCCTTGCTCAAATCTTTGAGCCTTAATGGTTTCAGTAGGGACTACTTTCGAGGCAAACCTTATCAACTCAATGAACTTGTTGTAGTATTCACTGATTGACATGTTTCCCATTCTTAGGTTGGTAAACTCCATACACTTCTGCTTTCTAAGGTAGGAAGGGTAAAACTTCTCTCTCAAGGCTTCCTTGAACTCATTCCACCTAAAGTTTGGTATTTTTAGCAACTCATCCTTTCTTTGGGCCCACCATAAGTCAGCTTCCTCCCTTAAGTAGTAAACTCCATTGTTCACCCTCATCTTGCTTGGGCAATTGATAACATTAAATAGCTTGTCAAACTCCCTAATCCAGTTTTCAAGGCTGGTTGGGTCCTCTTTTCCCAAGTAACCAGGTGGTTTAGCTGCAGCTACCCTCTTAAAGACTTCACTATAGGCATCAAGCTCAGGATTTCGGTGTTCCCTGTTCACCACCTTCGTGATGTTCCCAGTAATTTGGGTCAACTGCTTAAGGACCTTTCCAACTATGGAACCAGAGCGCTTACTCCTTAAATGTTCCCTCATTCTTGGAGACATAATTCCTGGGTATGATTATTACACTTGGAAATCACAAGTTCTACTCATACAAGCATTTAATTCACTTAATAACATAGAGAAATTTCAAATAATTCATTTTATTTCATTAATAATTAATGAAAATACAACCTTGTCACTTAGGACAATTATTGAAACATAAAACAAAAACATAGTTAAAATACAATCAAATAACACTATGGGCATAACCATCTTCAATAGGATCATAATCCGGATCATCACTTCTATTGCTTGGTTCGGCCATGAGAGTTGGGTTATAACCACTATAGCTTGGAATAAGGCCTGATGAGCTTGACCTAGATTTACTTATATTTCTGTCTGGGGCAGGAGTATAACTTGGGCTTTTTGTTGGGCTTACATCCCCACAAGGTTGGCTTGAAGAAGCTTTGGGGTTTTGGGCTCTTTGTTTTGCAGTTTGAGAACGAGTTTTGGGCCTTTTTGCAACATGGAAATGGGCTTTTGGGCTAGGTTGTTTTGAAGATTCAGAGCTCAAAGATTGGCTAAGAGAACGACAATGCTTGCTCCTACCAAGAGGTGGTACGGACTCATCACTAGATTCCACATACTCATGTCGCTTCTTTGGGTATGAAAAAGGTACTTGGGCATTTAAGAAGTACATTTGGTCATTAGGTCCAAAGGTTCGATCTTTTGGGATCGTGGGAATTTTCACAACTTTCCTCTTAGGTTCATACTTGTGCTTCAATAGTGCAAGTCCCTCTTAAGGCTAGACATAGTTGCTAACCACTTCCCTTCATGATGGTGCTTCTCATTCCACATTCCATCTTCCTTAATCACATCCCCATATTTGTCAAAGAGAGGTTGGTATTCTTAATTCTAGGAAAATGGGCCAAGGCTAGAAGAACCATCCAAGGTTGTTGGGTTAAGACTTCCTCACCAGCCTTCTCATAAAGGGTCAAGGCCAAAGTACAAATTCCAGTTATGAAATCACTAACTGTGACTCCACTATCTTTCAAGTAATGAATGTCAAAATATTAGTGTCTCATTGCATCAATCATTTTCATCTGTTTCACACATACATGAAAAAAAATTAATTAAGTGTCAAATCACACAAACAATCCAATTCAAAATCCATTTGCAATAATCAATTCATAACTCAACCAAACATAACTCAAGATTACCCAACCATGGGTAATAACAAAAAAAAATTCGGACCTCTAGACCACACTCTATGGTGTTTTAACACCAACTTTAATGCACACATAATCGCATACTCAAGTTTCAAACAATTTCAATTCTTTTTATTTTCGAAAATAATAAAAATGTACTTGAATCGAGATTAAAGGACGGTCGAGCCCGCATCACCTAGGAAAGTTACCTACGACGTTGAGGCGAGCCTTTCCTAGACAGAGAGTCGTACCTATTATAGGCCTCCGTAGAGAACTCAAGAATCCTTTTCTCCTTCATTTTTCCACAAATAAGAAAATAGTTTTTTTTTAAGTAAAAGTAAGGCTTTTGACTCACACACAAATGCGAAACTCTATGTATCCTATATGCCCTTTTAAGTCTACCCACAATTTTAATTACAATTTTAATCTTTTTAGGACCTTGAAATCTGATACCACTTTGTGAAAATCTGATACCACTTTGTGACACCCCCAAATCTCCCTCTACGGAAATACTAGTATAATATGTATAATTATACCGTAGAGATAGACTTAGGCGTATTACCGCCGCGTGATTATGCAAGGCTACTCAACTTACTAAAAATAACAATACTGTGCAGCAAACTTCAATACTCTTCTTTATTAATAATAACCATAATAGTAACCAATGTTATGAGTACTCAAAATAGATATAAGACCAAATTCCTTATTTAGTGAAAACCAATCCCGGGACTCCAATGCATCACCTATTGACTCCAACCTGAAAAATAAGCAACACTGCTTACCATTACAGTAAACAGGGCGCACTACTACAAAAATAGGCAAAGAGACCTGTTATAATAGGCCTAAGAAACCTCATTAGAGGAGGTCTCTAGCTCACAGGTCTCTTTGGCAAAAAGACCTGCTTTATGGAATAGGTCTCTTTGCAATTAATAAGAGACCTCGCAAGTGAGATAACAGGTCTCTTTGGCCATAATAATATTTTGAATCTATGAAGGCAAAGAGACCTGTTATCTTTCCTAACAGGTCTATTGAACGCATTTAAGAGACCTGTTAGGAGAGATAATAGGTCTCTTATGTCTTTAGTTTTTTTAAAAAAACAAAAACAAAATTCGATACCCTATACAGTATTTATTCCTGTAGGGTACCTATATAGTATTCATGTACCTGTATTTTGCAATTACTCCATAATCTCATAATGTTCATGGATAATATATTATTAAACTTCTATTAAAAATAACATATTATTAAAATTAAGTGGATAAACACTTTTACAAACATTCATTAATAAAAATTCAAATGTAACCTTAAAAAATACTATACAAAAACATCTAAAAATACTCTAATTATCCCCCAAAAATATAAACCATACTTATTAACATATTAGAAGTAGTTAAATACTTCTTAGAGCAATAGATGAAGTCGTGAAGGACTCAATCTTACTTGAATAGCAATGGCGTGCTATCTCTCTTTAATGTCTGTTTGCAGACAGTTAATCCACGAATATGACATTGAATAACAATTGCTGCTTCTTTTCTCAATTTGTACTCCAAAACATTTTTCCACCATCTTTGCAGCTTTACAATTGCATCTAAAACTATGCTTAAGTTGTATGACCTGTGGCCTAATGTAAGAGTAGTATGACCTGAAGCAGCAACACAAAGGGGGAAAGAACCTGCATAATCCAATTATCATACAATGTTCAACATGAAAGTAATCTTAGATTATCAAAGGAAACTTGTGAAAATTAATTGAAGGACATACATGGAGCTTAATAAAAGAGAGAATGCTTTAAAACCCAACAAAATAAAACCCAAAAAAACTCACAAAAAAAAAGTTAAAATTCTTACAGTAAAGCCAAATGGAATAGGACCAGGAACCAACCTTCTGATAGTGAGCTATATCAGTAATTGAGAGCTTTCCAAGCCTTTCATGCATGTTGTCAGTCCTTTGCCTCATACTGATCTACACACTACCATCACAAAGTCATGCTCTCTCTCTTCCCAACATATAGGAAGCTCAGTTCAGTTCCAGCATAAGCATTCAAGATGGACAACATTGGCAAATCCCTCAGAACTTTATGTTAATCACCTCCCCATCATGTTATTAGGTAGAACATCTGTAGCACTTGGAGGTGGGCTTTGTGGTTGTGGTGTGCCAACATTGGCCACATCAAAGTCTTCGTGGATGGTCCCTGATTCATTCCATTCAACTCCAGCTATCACTTAGTTAGGGAATCAAAGTTCATGTTTCTTTCTTCAAAAACTTGACAAAATTATGTTTTATACAACAAAATGAAACGTAAGTAAGAAAAAGTGAAAGGATACAGTCTGTTCTCCACATCAGTAATGCTGACATCACCATCCGACAGTAACCAGTAATCTGCATCACTCTGTAAAGGAAGCAGAAGACATAAATGTATTAGATACTTACTATTCAAGCGCATGGAAGGACAAAATTAACAACTGGGAACACTTTATACTTCTATTCAGCTTGTTGTATAACCAAAGCCCTATTCTCACTCCTGATCAAACACAACAAAGCAACAAATAACCCCAATTCCCTAGTCAGAAACTACAACAGTGAAAATTATCAATTCATTAATAAAAAATACTACATACTTCGTATTTCTTAAAAAAAAAAAAAAAAAAAAAAAAAAAAAAAAAAAAAAAAAAACCCTCATGCTTATTTTATCAATTACAATATTAATGCACATAACTCAAGAGATTCTGAAGACACCACACTTTAATAATTATACAATATTAATGTACATATTCAAGATATAGTGAAGATACCCACATGTTTCTACTATCAATTCAGAATATACCCACATTTCTTTTAATCTTTATAATTCAGCTAGAGCCTTAAACCCCAGAAAACCCCCAAATTTGCAAATAATCCCACTCCCCAATTCTTAATTATCAAGCTTAAGCATATTAATTGACAGCATAGCACTCAAAAACACTGCAAATTGCACAGACAGACTCTCAAATAAGAAGTACGAGTTAGCAAAATATGCTAAATACGATAAGTGCAAGATAATTAAACTCAATTTATTCGCAAACATGTTTTAAAACCAATTTCCAATAAATAATCTAATAATTCCAAACTCATGGTTTAAAACTAGTTCTCAATAATTCCAATATCAATAATCAATAAAACCAATTTCAATTATTTAAAAACCAATTTCTCGTATTAAAACCAATTCCTCTCCCAAGTGTGCACACCTCCCAAGCTAGTCTCCTTATATTACAAGGCTATTCTTGTGGAAAGACCCGGTCATGCAAAGTCCAAGGCCTTATCAATAAACCAAATCCGCATAGTGGGATTACCAACATGCTTATAAAGCATAAATAATAATAAATCCATGATTCAATAAATCCTCTTTTAAATCCAATAATTCCAATATCATTCAAAATCCTTTTTAATTAATTCCACATGATTTCAAAATCAAACCTTGTAAGTAAATACTTGAGAATAAAATCTCATATTAATAACTTTTCAAAATCAACAACTCTTCCTTGAAAAACCTTCATTAAATTCAACAAACCTTTTAAAATCAATTCTTTATTTAAACACGATAAGTAATCCAAACCATTCAAAACATGATTTAAAAATCATTTTTTTAATTAATTCCACATGATTTAAAAATCAAACCTTGTAAGTAAATACTTGAGAATAAAATCTCATATTAATAACTTTTCAAAATCAACAACTCTTTCTTGAAAAACCTTCATTAAATTCAACAAACCTTTTAAAATCAATTCTTTATTTAAACACGATAAGTAATCCAAACCATTCAAAACATGATTTAAAAATCAATAATTCAAAATACTTTTATTAAAATCAATACCTTTA